TGGTTTAGTGAAATAAAAATGTTCAGGGGCTCCATTGGAAACACCCCAAAGTACAAGGGGGGTCATGAATTTTATCCTTTAATTTCCCATCAGTTTTGAGTACTAATGGCAAATTCTCTATGTTCAATTTATTTATTTGTACAAATCTTCTTAATTATAACAATATTCAATTGATAAATTTACACAGTATTCTCCAAGTGTTTAAGAAGAAGGGGTTAGTCAGGTAGAACTCCAAAGTAGAAATAGAATAATTTGTAGGATTAAATTTTGTAGCGTTAGTCATTTAGAACTAAAATCAGAACAAAAAACTACCGTGTAAGTCAACTAGAACTGTACCAAATTAGAACTGGGATAATTGTATAAAATTATCCCGTTTTTATTTTTTTATATAAAAATGAGTGTTCTAGTCTCTCAAATTATCCTTTAGTTTAGAACTAGGTGGTAAAAAACCAGAACTTTCCATTTTATTTTACTTTTTTATTTTTTATTTTTTCTTTACCTTTTTTCCTCCAATGATCATCACCATCATTAGACCATGCTGTCATCGGATCTCGTCTCCTTTCAGGCATCTCTTATATTTTCTTTTTTATTGAATATTATAATAATAGTTAAATTAAAAGTAAAGGAAGTATAGATCCATAATTTATTTAAAAATAAAATTGAGAGATGATAGAAAGAGATCTTAGGGAGCAAAAAAAGAAGGAAAATATGGAAAACTTTTTTTTAGATTTGTACTATATTATAATAATGTTTGACAATATCTTATAGTCTAATCAAAAGTTATTTAATAGTAATTAATAGTCTAATTAATAATTATTAATCAATAATAGTATTGATGTTAATAATCAATCAGCTAATTAAGAGGGGGATAGGTTGTCAGGAGTCCTCTAACTCCTCCAAATGTTTAGTTCTAGAGCGACATGTTCTTTCCTGTACATAAAGAACTCGTAAGAGGGCGGAGTTGGATTATCCAGTTGTTCCTCTGATGATCAAGTCAGTAATTTGCTTGAGTGGAGAAGAAAATAAATTGTAAAAGTTTTTGAGCTTTTGGTGATACGAGTTGCCGTGCGAGCACTCTTGATCGCGGAATTATCAAGAGTGGGTAGAGAAGAAAACGACAGAAGAACACAAGAGTTATAATTAGGGCGAAGGAAAATATCTTCTCTAGATTATGAGAATAAATTGGATTTACAAAATCTCTCTCTCACAATCTCTCTAGATCAAAGAACAACCTCCCTGATCTCTTTTCTGATTACAATCTGAGTGATAAACCCTAGAAAAGTCGTGTTTCTATTTATACTAAATAGAAATCTTAAATGGTGCAGGAAACATGCCCAGGCCCATAACCGCTACGCGGTCGACCGTAGTGACCAAGTCGGTCGACCGGCCAGAACATCGATTTTTGGAAAAATCGCTTACAGGGTTTCCGGTCGACCACGGCGCCTACAGCGGTCGACCGCTCTCAGTCCAGAGACACAGTCTGGGTCTGTGCACTACGCAGTCGACCACAGTGACATGTGCGGTCGACCGGACAGAGCCCAAGCTGTAATTCCTGCAGTTTGACGAATCCTTTGATTTCGCCGCCTCCAATGACCTCGTCCACGACTCCTCTACTCTATTCTCAAGATAACATGAGAATCATCTATCCTCAAGCTCCCATGAGGATCGCTAAGCTCCCGAAGAGAAGATACACCCGTATCATGGGTCCCCCTTTAGGAACTTGAAGTCCCATTCAAGTTAGAACTTCAGCTGAGGGAACTCGCGAGCCCCTCCTTCACTGTTGAACCACTTAGCCTTGCTAGGAACCTGACCTTGACGTCTAATGAGAAACGACTCCTTCGTCCCCCGCCTCGTCGTGGTCGTCTTCCATTCCAAAATATAATCTTCTTTCAGTGGCTCCTCTCTATCAAACCACAAGTCTTCAACATGCGGTAAGATCATCTTGTCATCACCTTCATCATCCAATAACGGAGGTTCAAACAACTTCAAGTACTCGGCATTGATCACCGAATACATGCCTAAGTAAGGTGGCAAATCTAATCGAAAAGCGTTGTCATCAATCTGATCGAGAATCCGAAACGGACCATAACGAATAGGCTTCAACTTCTTCCCTTCTCCTTTTAACCTCTCCTTACTCAATTTTAACCATACCATATCTCCTTTACCAAAGTTACAAGGAACCCGATGTTGATCATGCTTCGCCTTGTACTTAGCTTGTGATTTCTTCAATTGAGCTTCAACTGTGGCATGAATATGTGCAATCTTCTCGAGAAATCGCTGAGCATGTTGTCTTTCACTCCCCTCCTTGTCGTCCACCGTGGCTTCACACGAAAACACAAGATCGAACGGGCTTGGCGGTAAAAATCCATAACAAGTCTCAAACGGTGACTTTCCGAAAGATCCATGAATCGCCAGATTAAAAGCAAACTGCAAATATGGTAAACTCTCATCCCATGTCTTAGGATGCCTGGAATTATACCCCCGCAACATGTGCACCATAGTCCGGTTGACTACCTCCGTTTGTTCGTCTGTTTATGGATGAAAGGCCGTGCTCTTCTTCAATTTAGTGTCCATCAGACTCCACAAAGAATCCTAAAAATGCCCGAGAAAACGGCTATCCCGATCCAAAATAATCGAACTCGGCAACCCAAAATGCTTCCACACATGCTCAAAGAACAATTGTACTGCACCCGCTCCCGTCACGGTCTCCTTATAAGGAATCAATATCACCATCTTGCTAAACCGGTCCATCACAACGTACAAATAGTCATGCCCGCGCTTCGTAGTCGGCAACCCTCCTAGAAAATCCATAGAAATGCTCTCTCACGGCCTAGAAGGAACCGGTAATGGTAGGTACAATTCCCTCTTCCTATTAGAAGGCTTCGAAATACAGCATAACTTACACTCTCCAACATACTTGGTCACATCATCAAGTATCCATGGCCAAAACACATGTCGCCGTAGATTGAGAAGCGTTTTCTGAATGCCAAAATGCCCTTGCACACGCGAGGTATGTGCTTCCCGAATCCACTACAACCTATCACCATCCTCCAGAATGCATAGTGATGTCCCACGATACAACAAGCCATCTTCTCCAAGTGCATACTCCCCTCTTCGACCAGCCTTCGCCTGCTCAAACACACTACCGAAGTCTCTACTGGATGCGTACAGCTGTACATACTCCAAAGGAACCAAGGGCTGAATACGCGTCGCCACCAATAAAGACCTTATCGGCGGACGAGATAACATATCGGCCAACTTGTTCGTCACCCCCTTCTTGTACCTAATAATGATGTTGAAAGCTATCAAATAAGACATCCACTTCATGTGCCGTGCCTGCTGTAGCTTCGTCTGGGCATGTAAGAACTCCAACAGCTTGTGATCCGAATGCACGACCACCTCCTTCCCTAATAAGTACACCCTCCAATGCTTAATTGCTTGACATAGTGCATAGAACTCCTTGTCGTAGGTTGGGTAATTCGCAACAGCACCCGAAAACTTCTCAGAATGGTATTCCACCGGCTTCCCATCCTGAATCAACACCGCGCCCATCGCATAACTAGACGCGTCGGTCTCCACCTCGAAAGTCTGCTGCAAATTCGGCAACGCCAATACCGGTGCCTCCGAGATCTTCCGAAAAGCCTCCTCATGCGTCCTTCCCCACTCAAACTGAACTTTAGCCTTTGTGAGGCCATGTAACGGTGCCGCATAAGTCGAAAAATGTCGAATGAACTTGCGCAAATACT